TTTAACCAAAATAGCATACAAATTTTTGAAACGAATTTTTGAGTACCTATTAAAAAATATAACGTTTTCCATATTTCGAAAATTGTCAACACTTGATAGAAAACTAATCCCCGGTCACCAACATTAAACAAAGTATAACAAAAAAGGAAGTGTAACAAAAAACAACACACTACTACTACTACTACTACTTTGTTGACGTTTCTTTGTTTTTATTACGACATGCTCAGAACTGCGTCGGAATTTATGTCAAAAATTGCGATTGTACATAAGGCCATTTTCAATATGTACAGAATGAGGAATATGAATCTTTTCTAAATACAAAAATACAATTACATTTCAGCAGATTTGGAAATGACGTTTTAAATTTGAACATGCTAAGACTTCTAGAAAAACCTATTCATTTACATGGTGTTTTTCAAATTCGGGTTTCAATTATAACAGCTGTCTATCTAAATCAAAATGGAACAGTTAGGTAATATAAATATTAGTCATTTTCAGTACACAATAATTGTGTGTTATGGTCCTAAAGAAGATCGAAAAGAAACTTTGTTTTAGGTGCATAATCATGAACAGTGCTTGGATTTTCATTGGCGCATTAAAATTATTTTTTTTAATGAGAAGAAAAATTGTAAAATGAAATTAAATTCCCAAAATAGTTCCCGCTTTCCTGAACACAAAAAGCGCATCCAATATCGATAAAGGGCGTTAATAATGTTCTTTTCTGAAGAAAAATTGTTTCTAATGTAGGTTCAGTTCTTTCATCTAACTCTTTAACTGTTAGAATTTCTATTTTATAAACCAAAGATTTCATAGGTCCCTACTGAAATCACATGATGGATTTAAATATGGTTTTCGAGAGTACCATAAAATTCAGTTCATTACGTCCAATTCATCTACCAGGAAACGTTTTATTTAAAAAATTTCGTACCTCACATCGGCAGTGTGCCGCACCATCATAAGAAACCATAAAGCCTGTTGAAAATTAAGGGATACTTTCTCTAAAAACAGTCAAATTATTTTATCTAAGATACAAATTGTTAACAAGGGTTAATCTCTATGATAAAATGAAAGGTCTTATTGGTATACTACGAACAATGTCTATCCGCAAGCTAACTGAAATCTATGTTGCAGATTCGTTTCCAGGATCTATGGAGATTTTCCATGAACCATATGTGTCTATTTTGAAAGTTGTTTACACGGATATTATCTTGAACTAATAAAATTTTCATACTCATTGTTTTGTTCTAACAATCTCTCACAAAAACGAACCCTATCGGGATGGTTTTCTGGTTGAAATACTGGTAAATGATTAATGATATGAATATAGATGGGTTCCATGTAGTTTTCTAAATTACTATGATACAATAACCTCACGAGCTTCATGTTAGTTAAAGTCTTTGACAACAATTATCAAAAGTTTATTCTCAATTTGAAACTTACGATTTGGTCCAGTTAGTCTGGAATGTATTCCATACAAAAAATAATACCGACAACATGCTTATACTAACACATGAACTAACCCCAAATCATCAAAAACTCAAACCAAATCTTAGAACAAAAATGGTTATTAGGTAATATGTTAAAGAGCGATGACGCGACAGTAAGCAATGATTTATTTCTCCGAAATTGTGAATGTTATTAATAATTACAGAACCGACAACTTATTTTAATATAAATTTGTATTTCTGCCGTTACAAAATTGTAGAACTAAAAGTTAGAGTGAAATTTATTGCTTTGTCTATCAACTATAACCTCTTAAAATTTAATACCTATTTTCCAAAAAAGCTTGTATAATCAATAATTCATTCTAGTGAAGTTATCTTGCAATTAGTGCTAATATTTCTTCTTTACATTTATACAGGTACAGAATATGCATTATGGTTACATTTAAGGTAAGAAAAAAGGTAAAAAGGCTCAGATTAAACTACTTTTTTTGGATATGCCAAAATTCAAGTCTTTACTATATAGTACTGGAAACTGGCCTTCAAGAATAATTAGGTACCTATAAAAATGTTAATACTTCAATTATATTCCTCAAACCCCCATTCAATAATTAATTTGTATAGGGGGTCAGGAAGCTAATGAGCTATACTACAAAGGTACCTATCTTCTTTAGCTGAAAAAAAACCATAACGATTTATATGAAATTATCTTACTGCAACTTTGCTTCCTTAAAAAGTCACCAACAACACTCTAAAAAGTAGGTACTTTGTTTTTTACTATATTTTTTATTGGTAGAGATTTTGGGAAGCCGCATATATTTTTTGACATTCCACTTTATTTACTTCTAAAATAAAAGAATATACTTCCTATACGCCACTATCATTCTCCGGCCCAGATAAAAATTGATTTAAATTTTTCACAACAGTCATCAGTTACTGATAGCCGAGAATTTGGGTGATTTCTATCTTCTATTTCTAGGCTAATTAAACTTGTTTTTTTCGCTATTTGCAACTGAACTGATTGTATTTACCCATTTAGACCAATATAGCTATATTCAACCGTCGTCAAAGCCGCTTGGCATACAATTCTATGAATTTAATGTTTTATATTATACAGGGTGTCCGGTAAGTACCTCCTAATCTCTCGGGAGTGTATAGGGGAGGTCAAAATAAAACTAGTCCTTCCTATAATTTTTTTTCCTAATGTGCCCCCTAACGGAGTTATGGGGGGTCAAAGGGGTACCTAGAAATTAACGTTTAGGGTTATAACTTTGAAACCACCCTGTATATTTTAATAAAATTTTCGTACGTTGTATTACACATGGAGCTCTACGATTTGATGCTAAAATCAACTTTTTGCTATTATCAGGTGTCCAGAAACGGACTGGCCCTA